GAGCATCACGTTCTGCAGATGATACCGGAGGTGTTTTGCTCTGAGACTCGAGAAGTTTCTGAATCTGTTGAAGAAAGTCTGTTAACAACATGCAATGACAGGTCAACGATAAAATGTTTGGCTTATTAATACAAACCTGGAGTTGAAGTAGCTTCAACTGACGCTCTTGATCCATAAGCATCCTGTAGGCACCGGCAGGAAGAAGACCCATGGGTGTGTCCAAACATGCTACTGGGCTAGACTGGACTTGGCAGCACTGGGCTTGACAGGGCGGGACTTGCTCAACAGAACCTTTGTTGGGGTTGACTGTGGGGACACATGGACCAGGTGATGGAGAGTAGTAAACTGGAACAGCGGGATGGCAAACAGGTCTTTTAGTCGGAGATATGCGACAACCCAAAGACTGCCGAGATGGCGAGAGGCAGTGATCCCCAGGTGGGGCACTCTCAGGGGTGCAATGAAAACCACAAGGATTGGGCGCCGCAGTGGGATACGCTGGTGTTCCTTGCCAGGTGTTGTTTTGATACAAGGGGACGTGGCTGGGTTGGTTGGTGAAGCAGCTGCAAGGGTTGGCCGCTGGGGTGCTATGGAAGAGTCTGTGTTGGGACGGATGATGAATAGGGGTCTGGCTAGGCATTGCTGAACTCTCTCTGGTACTGGTGCGAGCTGATGTTGGGGGTCCGGAATAAATCGGCTGGGGTTTGGTTGGGAAACCTTGGGAATAACGCTGCCTTTGTTTATGAAAAGAGCCATTGGGTGAAGCAGCATTCTTTGTTGAGGAAGATGATGAAGACGATGATGCAGATGATGCTGACGAGCCTTCTCTTGATCTTCGCATTGAGGGCAGTGATTTATGATTCACACTGGGTTGTGGTGTCTGTTGTCCCGGATTAGGATGTAGTTTGATTTTCGGCTGAGATAGGATGGGAGTTAGCGGTCTTCGGATTGGAGGAGGTCCAGGGATGCTACCTTGTTCTGGAGGTCTCAACACTGAGAGGCCCTGGTGTGCAGGGCTAATGCTTCTCCGCTGGACATTCGAAAGGCTACGAGAGACAGGAGTCGAGTCTTGTGTATTAGCCACACTCCAATCCAAAAAGCTACCATCTAATACCATAGAGAGTTCTGGTACTGAAGGATGAACACGTCTAGTCTGAAGAAAAATATTTGAATTGGAAGTTAATGGGTATGAAGTTATCCAACAAGAAATGGAGAGGTACATCAGGGGTGCAAGGCCACTAGTTAACAAACCTGCTGACTGACAGGATGAGGGTTTGGGGACGGCCGAGGAGAGAGGTCTTCATCTTCTACACCTGAGTCATGATCACTGATAGACAGTTTATTCCGTGGAGCAACTGAAGATGCTGCAAGTGTTGTCCTGATAGGACAAAGCGGATATAGTGTTATATTTCCTCTTGCTTACATTATATTGTATTCTGTCAGATACAGTAAACAGCCAAACATAAATGTCAACACATTGAAAAACGTTTTTAGAGAAATAAAGACTGTACCCTGTTAACACAGTCTGGGAGAGAACTTCCTCAAACAGCACAGTTTCCTGATTTTGGTTCTCAGCACTGAGCTCAAATTGCAAAGGCCGTCCTTCTGAAGGCTCTACATTCTATATTGGAAATTAGGTAGTATAATTAAAAACTTTTAATGAAAAGCAACCCTAAAAACTATTTAGTACAGTATGTTAGCTAAGCAACAACTCTAAAACCAATGTAAAAACACAATTGCTCTAGAAATACACTTAAACATCTGAAATCTGATTTAACACACAAAAATGAACAAAAAAATTGCTGAGTGAGGAATTTATTAGATAAAATTAACAATTAAATTCATAAAACACATAGTAGAACAGGTTGCATGAGGAGAAAAATATTTCTTATAGACCTGGGTGTATTCCAGTTTAATTTGTTGAGGACAAAGCCATAGACAGGCTAACCTTGTAAAGCGTGAATGACTCTGTGCTGGTGAGCAGCTGAAAGCTCATTTGTTGTTGTCCGACACATGGCTTACACTGGTAGAACTCGGGATCCCGGTGAGTCAGGGAATACAGAACCAC